AGAATGCACATACATACATATTTTAACAATCTCGTAGTACCTCAAATCTTAAATTTTTATTCGAGATCTGCAATAAATTTTTCTCACTCTTCTTTTGATATTTTTTTAATATATATTATTTTATTATATTATATGATATTTTTGTTTTCTTTATCAAAGTTAGTTTCCCTTATAATAATTTTTCCTTCCCTTTTTTATCTTCCACCCCGAACGCCCCTTTTTTCATTCTTCTCTTCTCTTTCTCTAAGTTTGTTTGTTTTGTTTTTTTCTTTTTCGTTACTTTTCCTCCCTTCATCATACCTTACATCAACGTTTCTTTATTCCTTTTTCTTGCTTCCTCCTTTGTATTCGTTTCTTTATTTTCCGAACCAAAGAGACCCGACGAAATGTTTTCCCTTTTTTTAACTTACAACCGTCAAAACAATTCTCCCTGGACTAAGGTATATGTACTCTATTTAATGAATCAAATCTTTCCCAACAACTACTTTTATTACGAGGCGGCTTTTTAATCCATTTACTTTTAACAAATCTCCTCTTTTAGTTCTAATTTATATTATTTTGTTCTTCTTAAAACTAACACACGTAATTCAATAACAACAACAACAACAACAACAAATCTAATTAAAAATTATTACATTTTTTGTGTTGTCATTCTTAATCGCAATTAAAATAAATCTCTAACATGAACGTGTTGTACGTTCGTAAATTATTTCTTATTAATTAATATAAATTATTTAATGAAAATAAAAATATATAAAAAGATTCATATAAATGTTAATTATTTTCTACGATATGTTGCATAAAAGACACCATGTATTATTTAATAATAAATTTTGAATAAAATTATGTGAATAAGATAAATCATGTTCTATCTTTAATAATTCTAAATGATTACTGTATATACATAAATGATTAATATGACTAATATTAATTAATTAATTAATTAATTAATTAATTAATTAATTAATTAATATATTTTATTAATTATTTTATTATTATAGTTCTTTGTAAAATCCAATCAAAATACTCGCATAAATAATTATTAGAAAATACATTAAAGCACATTCGAAATAGCCAAACGTAAATGCGATTAAATCCTATATAGTAAATTCGATTAAACTTTAATAATAATAATAGTAGTAGTAGTATTATTAATATATATGTATATATATAAAATGCTAATAATATACCTCTCAAGACTACTTACAAATTTTGCAATAGAAACTGTTCAAATTATTCTAATTGGACTAATTATTCACAAAATTAGTATTCCAAATGTACCTTTCTCTCATTTATCATAGGAAACAATTGTAAATGATTAATAATACTTCCAATTATTATACACTAATTTTATCTTACAATTAAATAGAATTCGTTCTATTAAACAAAACAAAAAAAATAAATAAATAAATTTATTCTGAAAAAATAGGATGATATTATTTTGGAAATATAAAATAAAATAAAATAAAGTAAACTAAAGGACCATTGAAAGAGAGGATGAAAGAACAAAAAAAAGAAAGATTCATAAAAGGAACTTCAACGAAATCGATAACCCGTCGAGATAGCCCAACGACGTAAAAAAAAAAACGTCCATTTTCTACGATTCTTTTGACAATTTTTCCTTTTTTTTTGTTCCATTTTCTTTCTATTTTCAATTTAACACCGTAGAAAATGTATTTTTTCTAAAGATAATATGTTAAAAAAAGCCAAAAAAATGTTTAAAATGCCCCCTTTTAAAACGTTATTTAACAAATATAACAAATATTGTTCCAATAAAATAAATATAATCGTTGTGTTTTTTATTTTTTATTGATCTTTCCATAATGTTAACATTTAATGCAAAATAAATACAAGACGTATTGACACGTGTCTAGCACGTTTGTTTTTTTTTATTTTTTTTATTTTTTTTTTTTTTTTTCAATCGTCTTTCGATAATACAAGTTTTATCTTTGATTTTTGTTTTTTTGTATATCACGTGAAACAAATCTAGACTTTAATCGAAAATAAGAAAAAGAAGAAGAGAGAGAGACAGAGAGAGAGAGAGGCAGAGAGACAGAGAGAAAGAGAGAGAGGAATAGAGCAAAAAAAGAATTTTAATAACTATGACCTTTATCGATCGCAATAGGGCGACTATATTAAATCGTCGAACACGTAAAACACGGCTAATGGTTCTGGATACTCCCTTTCTCTCAAATTGATCCTCACAAATGGTCATTGAATGTTCCATCGCTATACGATAAAAAGATTACATGCAACCTGTCCAAGTGTAACTTTATCAAATTAGAAATAAAAAAAAAATGTTCGCAGGCATAAACGATTGAAATACATAAATGTAGGTCGCATTCTTTTATTTTGATTTTCATAAATTTGAATTACGACGATGATGATGATGATGATGATGATAATAATCATAACGAAGTACGATGATACTAAAAGTCTGTTGACTTTTTCATAAAATAAAATAAATAAATCAATAAATAAAATAAACAAATTTGTATCATGGTTTATATCCTGACAATTTTCATGATAAAAATCATAACAAATTCGAACGAAAGTTTATTGACTTTCTGATAAAAAAAAAAATTCATATAAATTAATCATATGTCATAAAAAAAAAAAAATAGGAGGAAAGATATGATATAAAAAAAAAGAGAGAGAAAACAAAAACGGAAATAGAAAAATACGTATCGCGTTAGGTTCGATTTTTCACAAAAGCATTCAAGTGAAAAATACAAATGATTAGTATTAGATTCCTTACGTTTCCTCTTCGCTAACAAGAAACATCATGAAATCTTCTCAGTAGACTATACCGTTATCAATACAATACTATCCATGACATATCAATTGATGACCTACTTATGTACATCAAAAATATATTCTTACTATTTCTATACAACATTCTACACAACACGTACAAATGAAATAATCTAATAAAGTATAAAGTAAATCTTACTTTATTTAAATCCAATATATATATATATATAGATAGAAATCCCTAAACGAATTTTTAACATACATCGGATATGAAATAAAGATAAACATAAATATAAATATAAATATAAATAAAACTTTACTCGTGTATATGAAAAATAAATCCTATGAACAAAATTCTTTATATGAAATTGCAACCTATCAAAATGAATGGAAGGTAGAGAGTATAGAAAAAAAAAAATCATTATCCTATTCGTAATATATCAAAAATATATCTTGGTAATCTCTAAATAAATTGTAACGTATAGGGATAAATACAAAATTGTTTATATATTTATATGGTATATATGAGAGTGAGAGAGAGAGAGAGAGAGAGAAGGAGAACAAGAAAATACAAATAAAAATAAAACGAATTTATGGAAATTTAGGGAAGAAAAATTGATGAGAAATTTATATGGCTGGCAAAGGTCCCCGAATATCGAATTGAAATCGAATATGAATGCAAATGACATTTGATGATTGACGCGTTATCAGAAAAAGAATAACGAATAGAAAAGTTGTGTAGTGTTATTTTTATATATATATATATATATATTATAAAATGTAAAGTTACATGGTGGATATGCAGCATGTCATTGCAGTTGCAGTTGTAGTTTACAGTTGAGGTTGCTGATGTTGATGCTGATGTTACTGGTACGAGGCTATAAATCAAGGAAGAATTTTCAAGCCATAAATCAATGTTTGTTTCTTCTTTATATACGATTGAACGTTTTGCCATCCGTCATGTGTGGATATACTTTTGACGTGTATGTAACGAATGCCCTTCGACACGACAAACCTTTCTATTTCAACTCGGATAAACTTCAGAAAAGATCCCTTAACAGAAAACAAATCTGAATCACTCTAACCAACTCTTAGTATTTTTATTTAATTCAGATAAATCGTTTTTAATGTTATAGTACGCATTTTGCACTTTTGCAATTATTATATTATTTAAATAATTAATTTATTTTTATCGACCAAAACAAATTTCTTGTAAACCATTTATGTTTGCATGTTGATATTGATGAAATCCATTTGTATGTTGTTTTATTTTGATTTATTATAAAAAATAAAATTTTGAAAAGAGATTTATACTTTTTTTCAAAAGATCGATAAAATATGTGACGTACATTGTTTTCATTTAACAATAATAATTGGACTTAATCTGTACAATTGATATGAAAAAAACTTTGATCGAGTTATTCGAAACTATTGAACTAGTTGACTAGGTTTGATGAACACATAAATTAAAGAAATACTGATTCTTTCGTAAAGATACAAATTGATAATTAAACGAATAAATCACGTAAACATAATTAAACATATACACAAAAAAATATATATATATATATATGTCATTTTAGTCTAATATTGTTTCATCCGAAACCGACGGTCTATCGACAAACTCCCACGGTCCACGTACTCTGACAACATTGATTTTCTAAAAGCAGGACGAGACCGAGTCTAGTTCTTCGATCTTGCATTTTATTTTAAAATAAAATGAACAAGAAAAAGAAAGAAAACACAAGAAAGAACAAGAAAAAGAAAAGAATAATACTACGTCATTGTGTTGAATACCAAATGCGAATAAAATAAAATCTACTAAACGTGATCCGTTAAAAAAGTAACCAAAAATAAAAAAATAAAAAAACTTACAAGTCAAGAAAAAAGTGAAAGAATAAAAAGAAATGATCGTAACAARCAAACAAAAATATAGTTATAAAATACAAATTAATTAAAGTAAACATATTTAAATGTATTTACATAAATATAGGGGAAACAGATATAAACAAAGTCAAACGTCAAGGTCGTTGTAAAAAAAATTCCTGATAGGTAAAAGATAAGCTAATGTTCTACTTTTCTTCTTCTTCTTCTTCTTCTTCTTCTTCTTCTTGATTTGTTTTTTATTTATCTTCTCTCTCTTTTTCTTTCACATCATAAAAGTTCACTCAAGAGAGAAAATAGATACACGGAATTTGATAACACAGACGTGCAGTGCCAGTGTTTTGGTTTAAACGATGTGACCGCATCTTCAACGACAAAAATTTATCGAACACGACATTTTCTATAAATACACAGAGAGACATGTATACATGTATGTTATAATATTGAGAAGGTTGTAAAGAAAAAAAGAAAGGCCACAATGATCCTCCAACTTTGCAAGATTTCATACATCCTCCCCCTTACACATTTTTCATAAACCAATCGCTATTTCGCTACCCATAGAAAATCGTTCGTCTTTGTATATTCGACCTGTTCCTTTTTATCTCTAATGAAAAAATATCTCCTGTATATACCTGTATATACGTGTATAATACATGTATAAGAAGTGTCCTAAAAATTATTTTACCTTACTACAAAAAAAAAATTCTCTTTTAGCTGATATTTTTGGAATGTAAATATTACTTTTTATTATATTATAATATATAAAATATTTATTATATTATATTATATTTATATTATATTTAAATTATATTTATATTATTTTTGAATATTGTATAAATATTGAATTTTTAATATTGTAGGAATATTATTTTTAAATATTGTATGAATATTATTTTTGAATATTATTTGAATATTATATTTATATTATATTTAGTGAAATATCACAATGAACGAACACTCATTTTTCTTCCTTTACAATATTTTCTTTTCTTTATTTTATTCTTTTTTCATTTTCTTTTTTTTTTTTTTTATTTTTTTTTATGATTATCGCGAAATCGAAAAATCTGCCATATCATCGATATGGCTTTCAAAACGAGTCAAGAAGGAAGAAAAGCCTAGCTGTATGGAATTTTTATTACATCGTTTATATATATTTTCTTCTACTAAACTTCCCCTCTCTTCAGCTTCTTCTTCTTCTTCTTCTTTTTCAAAAATATAGAATGTCCTTTTATCCTTCTATCTATCTCTCTCTCTCTCTCTCCCTTATACAAACAAGCATATCCAAAAAGCAAGCACAGCTTCCTTTTTATCATCTACCGTTATCGGTTGAAGTTTCTTTCTCTCTTCTAGTTCATTCCCGTAGGGTGAACATCGGAAAAGAATGTTTGAGGGGAAAAAATAATAATAATAAAAAGGAAAAAGAAAAGAGTCGAGAAAATCGGCTCGTCATTTTTGCAAATTTGTCCCGTCAACTCTCTCTCTCTCTCTCTCTCTCTCTCTCTCTCTCTCTCTTTCTCTTTCTAGCAGCGATTGAATTCTGTTCCTGACATTCCTCCTCGTTCTATTCACCCAACAACTGTTTTCCTCAACGTGTGAGAAAGAAACTCAACCCTTATCCCCCTTTTCACTTTCTCTCTCTCTCTCTCTCTCTCTCTCTCTTATGATTGTACTTTTTGTCGTTTTCTTTCGTTTCCTTCACTTTCCTCTTAGAAATTCTTAGACGTAGATCCCGTAGGAACCCTTCGCAATAATATTCCTGGATACCGAACAACCACAAACGCATCGAAATTGCAAGCATACTTGGGAATGCGATCGACATAGTCTGTAGTCTGTAAAAGCAAGTAAAATGCAAAGAACCTTTTTCCCCCTCTCTCTCTCTCTCTTTCTATCTTTCTCTCTCTAGAAAGTTCATTTACCATTTAACCGAAGTAACATTAACTCGAAAGGAAAATGTGTTCTCATCCAGATTAACATTTTCTCTTTTATATTCTCGTTACCGTTAATATACACTTTGCTATTCTTTAAACAAAACAAAACAAAAATAAAAAAAAAATCAACTTTTTCTATATCGCTCTGTTTATTTCATTTCAATTTTTTTTTTTTTTTTACGTTTATATATTAAAAGTTTTCAACAAACTTTACTTGTCTCTTCCATCTTGTGTTCTTCTACTTCTTCTTCTTCTTCTTCTTCTTCTTTTTCTTTTTCTGATTGTCTATTTTGTTCTGGATATTTTCAATTTATTTCAATTCTATTCTCTGATTTTCTCGAATGTATTAAATCGGTCAAATAATTTAATAAATCTCTCCTACTTTAGCATATTTAATAAATAGCATTAATAGCATTATAAATAAGTGAAAATCGATTTGATACGAAAGAGAAAGAGATAAATAGAAAATATCATTTCGACGTCGTCGTCGGTGCTTTTATTTTCCGCTCATTTTATTACGTGATAATATTCGCAGTAAAAAAAAAAAAAAAAAAAAAGAAGAAGAAAAAAGAAAGGAGTAGAATAAAAATAAAAAAATAAGAATAAAAATAGAAAGAAAAAAAAAAAGTAAAATATAAAATAAATAATCGTGTTATAAAATCGTACGATCAAAATTATGCATACGTCTATCCATAAATAATACTTCGAGTGTTTATACTAATTTAATAACTGTTGAAATATACGAATTCGATATGATTTCATTTCGTAAATCTTATGTAACACATACAAAGGTTCAAATTGTTTCAACTAATCGATTGCTATCAAACTTGAAACTATACAAGTTTAAACACGGTAATAGTAATTTATTATTATATTCAAAATAACGTATACGTAATTTAAGAACAATCGAATTAATAACAATATAATTTATATAGATACATATTATTATACCCCCATAATTATTATTACTCATTAATAAAACAATTAATAAACAGAATGTATTGGTATAAGTAAAAAATATTTCATTTGTGCGTATTCAAAAATACAATTTCTTTACAATAATATCAATCGATCGAAATATACGCAAACAAATGTATACAAATAAATAAATAAATAAAATAATATACAATTTATTGAATATACTCACGATCGATAATAGCAACACGTAACAGCGTTCGTTCCCACGATGTCCTCGAAAGATCTAAGGATCGATAAAGGTTTGTTCAGTTACTTAGTAGCTGCTGATCGAAATTGTTGTTCTTCCACGTTGACGACAATCCATCGCAGATAACTTCATCTTAAACTTCGGCATGACAAAGAGATTCTTCGTATTCTAATCGGGATTTATCAGTAGCCCGATTCATCTCCTTTATCGTCTGATCCTATCGAGACGCACCATCTCCAAACGATTTAAGATACATGCCGCCCTCAGTTTATCCTAAGATACCCTTTTCCCCTATTCATTTACGAACAAGAAAAAGAAAGAAAAGGAAAGCTATTTTCGCAACTTCTCTCGATTTTTTATCAAAAGAAAAAAAATAATTAACTTAAAGGGATTGACCAATCGAAATCTCTTATCTTTCTTTTTGTTACATCACCGTTTTCTTGGGGTTACACATCAATGAATTCGTTTTCACATGACAATTCGAATTAATTAAACTTTAACAAATTTTTAATATCAATGCATCAAAATCTAAATAAATATTGGTAAATAATTTGGTTTTTATTTTTTTGTAACACTATTAATATATAAATAAATGCGAATAATTCTTCAAATACGAGAATACAAATTTTTAACACCTTGTCTATTATTATAATTATTAAAAAGAAAAAAAATAATAATCTGACCTATATATATTTAATTAATAATCTTACTTTGAATATTTCACATAAGATCAGCTTTTTCCTATTCCCTCTTCTTCTTGATTGTGTGGATCAGATATATTTGTTCAAGTGTAATCATTTAAATTCTATGATTTTGTAATCAATGAATTTCCCGATGTGTCCTTGACACTGTCGAATGCACAAAAAGTCACCGGTTATCGGAAACAATTCGATGATGCACCTATGAATGTTCGAAATCTTTCGTAGGAAGATAAACACGTGGAACGAACTACGTGCGTACTATGTGCGTGGGTGGTAGCGTACTACTGAGTTTCACGTTCCTGTAAAGCCAATCCTGACGATTTCCCCTACCCTCTAGTTCCCTAGCTCGCGGCTTCTTCCACCTCTTCCAACAAACTCCGCCGCCCTCTGCGAGTCCTCTGCTGAAAACGAGTTTGCGCTCCTGCCAAACTCCGTACTTCGTCCTCAAACGTCGTTGCACTAATAGTACTCCTCTCTTATTTTCTTTCCTCGATAATCGAAAATTAATCAGCCCCTTCTTTCGTCTATTCATTTTCTAAAATGATATCGATTATAATTACGATTATGATATTTGACAAATCTTTTCGTAAAATCATTTCGAATTTATTCGTAATTTAAAATTGAAGATTGGGTGTTTCAAACGATTCGTTAATTATCAAAAATTTAAAAATATATACAAATAAAATTATAATATCCCTAACACATTTGATTCACCTGTAGGATTATTTTTAACGTGAAAACTTCTTTAGAATCTGAATGATTTGAACAAAAAAGAAACTTATCTGGAAATTAATACGAAACCACAATCATTGTCCACAGTGGCCCAGTACAAATAATAGATTGCAAAAAGAAAATCTTATATTTCAACATTAATCTAATAAAACAGTCGTTGTAAGAAGTTAACCATTTGTCACTGATCTCATAATAATTCATAAGTATCAACCAGGGAATGGTACATTTGGTGAAAATTTTATTGCAATTTTAGCAACAATAAAATGTATCTTTCCTATTTGATGAAATCCGATCCATCATACAATTCGAAATCGATAAAATGTTGCAGACGTTATATCTTGTCTAGAAAAGTTATGCATTAGTTTTCTAGATAGACTAAGGAAGAAAAATTACTACGAATCTTTCATCGAGGTATCTTGACATAGTTGATAGACGGGCCACTTACAGACTCTCGACGACAAGAAGCAATAATCCTCGAGGGATTGAAGGGACACCTCTTTACTTACTTTTTCTCAGAACTTCCAAACGACTTTTCTTTTTCTTCTTCTTCTTTTTCTTTTTCTTTTTCTTCTTGTATTTTCTTCTATTCATTTAAACTGGTAACTAGAAGTCCTGCATTTGCAACAAAAAATTTCATTATACTTCCTTGCCATGTTTTTATACATTAACGAAATCATATATTAAGAATTTTATCATATTTTTCACGATCATACTAATTCAATTATTATTGAAAAAGTATATACAATTAAAATTAATGACAATATTGCAGATCAATCGTAATCGTTTATTAATTTTAATCAAAATTATTCTGATCTATAACTGTAATATTTCAAATATTATTAAATCATTATGAAATCAATATAATAATAGAATTATAATCAAACTTTAACAAAAGATTTTATTTTCTAATAGTTGTATGAAAGTAACTAGAATAGGAAGGTCCTGACAAATGCCTAGGATTATAAGAGAGTTTTCGCGCACATAGACACGCATACACTTACACATAGACAAATAATACAAAGAACACAAACACAAGTTTGTAAAGTCCAAGCTGTGGTAAGATTTACTCAAGCCACGAATGTAACAAAAGGGATCAGTATGACCAACTGATAGATCGATCTATTAAATCATTGTATCTATATTCTCTTTCTCTTTCTCTTTCTCTTTCTAATACATTTCTACTATTATAGAAAATATTTTTCTTCTCTCTAATCTTATAAACCATATATATATATATACCAAGTTAATCGTTATAAAATTAAAAATAAATCTATATATCTTTCTCTCTTGTTCTCATTAATTTCCCAAGAGTCTCATAAAATAAATGAATTGTTATTGTGCATAATACTAATATATAAAAAAAAAAATAAAATAAAATATAAAAAAGTAAGGAATAAAAAATATTTATGTATTTAGTCTGACACTGTTGTAATCGTTAAACGTAATAAGTACACATAAAACACGTCGTATATTTTCTCTCTCTCTCTCTCTCTCTTTTTCTGATACTATTTGTAATAAATCGTTGTAATTGAACTAAAGCACTTTTAACATCTCTCGAGGACCGATAAAAGCAAATTACATATGCGAATACTCGCTCGTAATTGAATCTATGAAGCCTGAGGTATGGGGGATGAGGATGAGGGTGAAGGTGTAGGTAGAAGTTGTGAGAGGGTAGAAGAGGAAAAAGGGTGGGTGAGGGGTTGAAAGCGAGTATGCTATCTCATTGTACATAACTTATTACGAGTAATAAATCCCGTTGAGAGTACGTATATCTTGTAGGTATGGGGAAAGTTGAGAAAAAATTGTCAAGATAAATGGGTAAGAAAAGGAAGGAAGGAAGGAAAAAAAAAAAGGTTTGAAAAGAAGAACAGAATAAAAAGAGTGTATATATACACCGGTAAAGAAGAAAAAGAAGAAGAAGAAGAAGAAGAAAAAGTAGAAGTAGAAAACACGTCTTATACTTTAAACTCAAGTGAGATTTACAAAACCAAGGAAGAAAATAAACGTTTCGTACGAGAGTTAGTATCGTCTGACTCGTCCACAATCTTGCAAAATTCGTCGACTAAATTTACGATTCGCACGCGTTTTAAACCAAAGCGTAAGGTCTAGACACCATGAAAAAACAAGGACTATTTTTGTAGTATTACGTGCGTGGTTTAGCGAGAGAAATATATGGTGTTATTTTCTTATCTTCACCTTATGTCTTTTTAAAGGGAGAGTGAGGTGGATGGGATATAGTTAGCGAAGCTCGTTAATAAAAGCTCGTTTATTTGAAAAGGGATCATAATTATCTGAGGATAATTAAATTTTCTTACTCAATTTGTTTTTCTGTTTTTTGTTTTTTTTTTTTTTTATAATTCATTTCATCATATTTCTTTAGATATTACTATTATTTTTTTGTATATAACGAAAATTATATACATATATATAAAAAACAAAATTCATGTGAGATACATTATACCATCGATTTTTGTATCGTTTTGTTGTATTTTGTTAATTTCAATCTATATCAAAAAAAATAACTTATTACAATATTATTAAATATATACGAACATCATAACTTTCAAATAGGAAATGAAAAACCTAAGATTCCCAAGAGAATTCGAAAGACAAAAATATTCTATAAAATTTCAAAAAGAAATAAACACTTAGCATTTAAAATACTTACACAATAAAAAATGTATATCTTTCTGTCGTCTTGTATTTTTTTTTTCTTCGAAACCCTTGGACAATGTCTTTTTTTTGTCCCACGATTTAACATTTAAAGATACTCAACGTTAGATGTCCCGTAAGGAGTAATAAAGTTCGACAAGGGAAACGCCTCAATTTTGAATTGTCCTTAGTTTACACAAATCTACAGGATAAAAGTTTAACAGAGAAAAAGAGAGTGATCTTATTGTCAGTCGTTATCATCAACAAACCCCTCTCTTTCTACCCTATAACACAACTCTCTATCTCTCCCTCTCTCTCTCTTATTCCCCTAAAAGAGGCAGCGTAATTCATGTCGACGAGACGACTTCCAACTTTTATTTGGCTAGACTGGATGGCGCCTCGGCTCCGATAATCTGGCCATTACTGGAAGATACACTGACAAGAGGAAAGGAAAGGGGGGGACGATTCATGAAGATGTGTGTATGTATTTTATATATGTGTCCTATGATGAAACGAAAGCAAGAGAGAGTGAAAGAAACTAAAAGAGAAATATATATATATATATATATATATAGAGAGAGAGAGAGGACGGTGACAAAAGTGCAAAAGAGAAGCTAAATCTATATATGTGTGTAAATATGTATGAGTAAAAGAGAGATAGAGAGAGGTGAAGGAATTATCGATCCCACCAAATCCTTGCTACCGTCGCAAATAGGTACATGGACCCATTTCATATCCATATCTATCGATTGTATCTCGTTATGTTGCATAACACGCGAATGAATTACCGTGAATTGTATCCTAGAAACCAATAGAATTATTCTATACTGACGATGAAGTATAGATTTATCTAAATGTGTATCAACACTGTTAATGATCATACAACTCCTATCGTACAAATGAAAATTGTCATTTATTTTTCAAATATCGTGTTATAAAGAAACACGTGAAATTGTTCCTATGGTAAATTCAATTAGAATTTGTTTATAATTAAAATCTAAAAGGCTTTTTTTTTTTAAATATATGATCGAATGATTAACGAAGAAACGTTGTAGTCAAATTTGATGTGTTGAATTTAAATTTGAATTCATCTATAATATTTACTATATATTTACAGTACGTGTGTAATATTTGTATATAATAAGTAGTATGAAGATATATGTAAATATGATGAAATACGTAGAAAGTAATAAAATACTAACTCGAGAGATGCGACGTGTCTAAAACTCAACGGGTAATAGAAATGCACTTCTCTCACACATCAACTTGTAGAAATTGTATGCTTAGTGAAAGACATCAGAGACATCATGTGTAATTTCAACGGTAAATCTTTTCAAACGTTTCCAAGGACTTATGTATATACTATTCTAGGTAGAAAATATGAAAAAGAGTGAGATATAGATGACGATAAAGAAATTATTCGTCAAAGTAATAACATATAATACTCATACGCAAGTATCTGTCACATGAATTTAATATTATTTGATACAGAGGAGAATACAATATCTATCATATTTTACAAATGTCACAAAGACAAAATTTTTCAATTTTACATACTTTGTTTATTCACATGCAAAAATATATCAATTTCTTGTCTGTAAAATTTTAAAATAATAAACATGTATCACTACAATGTCATATGAACTTTTTTGCTTTTTTTATTTATCAGATAGTAATTAAAAAATTTCGTAATTTGGATTAAAAATTTGCCCCCCCTCCCTCACCCCAAAAAAAAGAAAAAACAAAATGACAAAATTCCAAAAAATAATATCGACGAATCAATCGAAAGTATTGATAAATCGGATTAACTTAACGGCAAATTTAAGGACAATTCATGATAAAGAAGAGATCATTCGGGTAGGATGCTTTTGTCCTCGCGGAATAGCTATAAATTGAGATATCCTATCGGAAAACGGCATTGTCCCGCCTCATTCCGCTAGACTGAATCTGAAAATTCGTTTCGATGAAATGACAAAAGATAAAGGAAAGAAAGGAATAGAAGAGAAAGTAGAAAAGCTCAAAATTCTTCTTTTTCTTTTAATTTCCATTCTCTATTGTCCTTATTCATCCTCATGTATGAATGTATGTATGTTCGTCATTATGTGTACCTAAAATCCATGTGCATGTGTATATACTTGTGTGTAGTTATCTAAGAGATCCAAACTTTATAGAATAGAATTCTATTGATATTAAAAATAATGACGATCAATATCGATAACAACACGACGCTATTACTTTCTTCTTTTTAATAAATCTTGCAAGCGGAAATTTAATTGATCTGGATCTTTAATCGTTTCTCTTTCTTTGTGTTCTCTGTGATCTCTGAAAATATTTAAAAAAAACATTAGCTGATAAAGAATACAACCTTCACCTCAATTTGGTAAATAGATTTTGTCATTACTCTCTCTCTCTCTCTCTCTTTCTTGTATTATATTTAAATGTAATTTTCTCTCGGTTTAAATATATATTCGCATTTTTATTTGAATAGCGAATACTCTGATAACATTTACATTTCTCTCTCTAATGACTATCGTTTGTATCGATCTTTAAAAAAGAATGCGTTTACATTATTCCATAATTTTTACAAAAACAATAATCCCTTTTTCCTTTAATCCGATTAAAAATTAAATAATAAAATAGGAATTGTATCTAATTGACCAATAAATATTATAACATTATATTTGATATTTTTTATTAACCCTTTCGTTACGTTACCCATATAGGTGTAATATCATTCGACGATTCGTATGCACGAACAAATTTATATAAAACCAATACTCGTGTCAAAGCATGCCATGTAACGAAAAAATTTAAAAATTCTTATATTATTATTATTATTATTATTGTATCGACCATCTCAAATAGACTTCAATAATGCTAAAAAAAAAAAAAA